AATTCAGTCTGCTGCTTTCCTTTCATTGTCTTGGGTGAGGGTCACAACTTAGATGTATGTCCAAAAAAATACAAATCCTTTGGCAAGTATGTTATCTGTAGATTATTTAGACAACTGTCCAGGTTCAGCTTTGTATGAGCAAACACACTGCATTGTTTGAAGAAAAAAAAAAAAAAAAAGAATTAGTTTTAAAATTGATATGCGACTTGGATTTGCTTTTGCCTACAGCTCTTATTTTACTGTTGCTGGAATTTTGAGGATTGTGCACTCTCCCATTCAGCACTTAAACGAATTCAGGAATCTGATTAACACACTGCACAGCACAGAGCAGGGGGCTGAGTGTAATTTGAGACTTGAGTGGAGGGAACAGACCACACCCCCCCAAACACCTGAGGTTACCAATCAACTACTGTGCACTGGAGTAGAGAAGGAGGTGGTGGCATCTGCCAGGATCGCCTGGTATCGTCAGAGGTGGCTCATGCAGATAGCAGATGAATGACAGAGCAGACAGAAATCACACAAGTACACACTGAGAAGGATATGCTTTGTTAATGTTTCATTTCAGGAGGTTTTACAATCACGTTAAGCTGATGAAGTGATAGTATATTGTCCCACAACGACTTGAGAAATTTACCCCCGCTGTGTCTGGACTATGCTTCAGGGGCTGCCAGACCACAGGCACATGATCACATATGGTGAACCTACCTTTGCATCAGGAGTTTCTGGAACGGGGTTCACCAGATTGTCTACACTCATTTTAGGAAAAAAGGATCCCAAAAAAGCCCTGTTAAAAGCAAGTCTTGACCAAACTATGGTGGTCTTCTACCCTTATGAGAATACAGGTGAAGAATAAGATGGTACCTCCTGAAGGAAAAGATGTCTGTGACTCTTAAAAACAAATTGCATACATTTGAAATGATATGGAGCCCTCGGATTGAACTTTACTTACTAAAGGACCATTTGCTTCTAATTATCTGACTTCTGTGCTGAGCTAACTAGTCCATGATAGCTGGTCAAAGGATGACCCAGAACCACCCTGGCAGATCTCTCCCCCCTTCCCTTACCTCCCACACTTTCCCACAGCCTCTTCTCTCTATATATTCCTAACTCATTACTTCTTAAAATGGAGAGGCGCAACATGCTTTTTTTTCGGTTAGAAAGTAATCTGAACATGAGCCTTTCATACCATACTTCTGTCTCTGGATTGTAATCACTCTAGAACCTGATTGTATTTACTTACCGTATTTTCCGGCGTATAAGACGACCCCCTACTTTTCCTGTTAAAATATAGGGTTTGAGCTATACTCGCCGTATAAGACTACCCCTCTTCCAACACACACCAAATAAAAATGAAAAAACATCAGATTTCATTTCAATATGGTATGCTATTTCAGTATGGTATTCCAATGATGGGACGCTATTCCTCCCACTGACACCAATGATGGTGCCCCATCGGTGGCGTCAGTCGGGGGAGGAGGAACAGCGCCCCATCGGTGGGGGAGGGCGTCAGTGGGGAGGAGGAACAGCGCCCCATCGGTGGCGTCAGTGGGGGAGGAGGAACAGCGCGTCAGTGGGGAGGAGGAAAACCCATCGGGGGCGTCAGTGGGGTGGGGAGGAGGAACAGCGCCCCATCGGTGGCGTCAGTGGGGAGGAGGAACAGCGCCCCATCGGTGGCGTCAGTGGGGAGGAGGAACAGCGCCCCATCGGTGGCGTCAGTGGGGAGGAGGAACAGCGCCCCATCGGTGGCGTCAGTGGGGTGGGGAGGAGGAACAGCGTGGGGGGGAGGAACAGCGCCCCATCGGTGGCGTCAGTGGGGAGGAGGAACAGCGCCCCATCGGTGGCGTCAGTGGGGAGGAGCGCCCCATCGGTGGAGGAACAGCGCCCCATCGGTCAGTGGGCGTCAGTGGGGAGGAGGAACAGCGCCTCATCGGTGGGCGTCAGTGGTGGGAGGAAGGAACAGCGCCTCATCGTTGGTGTCAGTGGGGGGCGCCTCATCGGTGGTGTCAGTGGGAGAGGAGCGGCTGCTCCTTCTTCCAGTTCGGCCGCTCGATTTTCGCGGGAACAGCGCCGCTCGGCTCCGCCTCCTCGCTGGTGCCTCATTGGTCGCCTGTGTTGGTGTGCCTTTCCAGTGCTGGCGCCCAATCACCGGTGAGGAGGCGGCCTTTCCGAGCTGGCGCCCAATCACCATGACCATCGAGCGGACCAAACTGAAAGAAGGAGCAGCCGCGCTTCCTGGACCGGATCGTCGTGGGACCGGAGCCAGGTAAGGTACAGCAGCCCCTCTGCCCACCCCTGTACTTAGTGTCCTGTTGGAGGAGGGACCCTCGAAAAAGTGCCGCCCTGACACCCCGGCTCCCACCGGCGTATAAGACGACCCCCGACTTTTCAGAAGATTTTCAGGGGTTGAAAAGTCGTCTTATATGCCGGAAAATACGGCGTATAAGACGAGTTTTTGCTTATTGCTGTTATTTGTGTTTATAAACCTTAGATAAATAAAAAAACACATTGAAACAGGAAAAAACTCACTTCTTATTTTCAGGTTTCAGTTTCCCCTTTGCTACCAGGTATTCCTGTAGCTGCCTTCGACGTTCTTCTGTTGATATAATCAGATTAAATACAAGCAGAAGTTAAAAGGGAATATAGTCTCCAAAACATTAAAGTATAACTAAACACGTTTTTTTTTTTGTTTGGAACAGAGTGGAGAGGGATTAGAACACCTCTTAGTTTTCACACTATTTGTCTTGTTCACAGTTATCACCGAAAGAGAAAAAAAAAACCCACATTTTGGGCTGCCCCCCCCCCCCCCCCCGTTCAGTAAAAGAGGGATATTCTTCCAATGTGGACAGTAGTTTTGGAGACTCCTTCACTTCCTGTTGTGGTTATGGGATAGGAAGGGAGAGGAATTTTCCCCAATGGAACACAGATTTGAAAGAAAAAAAAAAAAAAAAAAAATCTGACAGATTATTACTCTTCCTTACCCTATCCAAAATGAAAAAAAAAAAGGTCTATAGTTCTACTTTAAAAGGAACCCTTCAGAATACAAATGTAAAAGTTGTAATTTTTTTTTTTTTTCAGTTTATGAAGATGCATGCACCAGGGCTGTCATTCTGATGACTGACCTAAAACAAACATGAGTAGCTATAGATATTCAAGAACTAGTCTAGGTAGTGGGAAGATACCTCATCCCCCCCCGCCCTACCACAGACTGATGCATAAATAGGCAATGCTTTTTCCTTAGATCCATCAGCTGGAGGTATTTGACTGGGCCCAAAAGGATGAATACAGACACAAGGATACAGATTTCAAAAAGATGAGGCATGGATCATCTTTATTGACAGCATGGTGACTGGTGATCAACGTGTCACAAATTTCAATACGTTCTGGTAATAACTGTCAAAGCATCCTGGGACACTGTACATGTTAACCCATTAAAACTGAACTCTAGGAAAGCTGAAAATCCCCCCTTACAATTAGGTTGCATCCATACTGCAAAGGTTAACTGGTTTGCATGTAACAAAATGTGTATTTATTATTTTTGTCTGCTGATCACTGGTGCCATGCAGGTCTCCTGCAGATCTGTCATTATATATGCTTGCCCGTATGGGCTTACAGTGCCGTGGTAGTTCATTGAGGACTACAAGTCGACATTAGCGGCTGTTGGGACTTGTAGTCTCTCATTCACAAAAGGACTGTGAATGAGTGACATGGTCGGGCCGTTTTTTTTTTTAATTTGACAGCTAGCGAGGTGGGAAGAAGATCCCCTGCTAGCTTTCCAAGCTGGGGCCTGTCTGATTGTAACATGTTACACCCTGAATATGGGTGTAACATGTTAAGAAAGGTGAACTTACCCTTTAAAAGCAATTTTAGGTACCCGATCCTCTGCTTCCCTAGCAGACAGTGCTCCTCTTCACTTTAGCAGTGGACTGTCCCTTGCTGTTCTTGTAACAAAAGTAGGGCTATGGACCTTAGACTGCCAGTGCATAAAGGAAAAAAAGCCACAGGGACCAGTCTAGCAAAATATAGGAGGTTGCAGGAGCTGAGGACCAAGCAAGTAAATCTACTTTTACACACCCCCCCCCCCCCCCCCCCCGACCCTATCTAAACAATTAACCCTTGCAGTGTGGGTTCAGCCCCACTGCGAGAAAACATTTTAGTTTCCAGAAGTTCAGCTTTAATGACCATGGACAGTAGATCTATAGCTGAACCTACAGAGGGATGACACAAAAGGCTTTGGATCTATAGCCTACATTTCAAAAAAAAAAAAACTTTTACCCATCCTCCTGTCCCAGCCTCAAGCTGGCAACACACTATCAGATTTTTTAATAAATGTTCATATGAATATATGTATAAAGTTCTCATCAATACATTTGACAATGAGATGAATGACATAAAAAAAAAAAAGGTTTGCTTTTAACATTTGATTTTAGAGTGAATAGACATTCTCGAACTAAAAGCCACTTATTGGAAATTTGGGAAAATTATGTTTTGACCGCATTATTAAAAAAAAACAAAAAAAAAAACAAATGTTCTTAAAATTAAAATTTTCAAATAAAATTCTGATGGGTGGTCAGCTTCAGTTTCAGATATATTGCTAGCTGTCCAATCACAGCGGTTTAGAAAAACCCCACACTATAGGATGGATTGAAAATTGTACAACGATACTCTAACATGTGACCACCTAAAGAGGTAGTAAAGTCTCTCTTTAATTTAACCACTAGTCTACAGGGCACTTATACCCCCTTCCTGCCCAGGACACTTTCCAGCTTTCAGCGCTGTCACACTTTTAATGACAATTGCGCGGTCATGCAACACTGTACCCATATGAAATTTTTATCATTTTTTTGTGACAGTTTTATTTTGGTGGTATTTAATCACCTCTGGGTTTTTAATTTTTTCTTAAACAAACCAAAAACCACTGAAAATTTGAAAAAAAAAAAAAGTTTTTTTCTTAGTTTTTGTTATAAAATTTTGTAAATAAGTGATTTTTCTCCTTCACTGATGTGCGCTAATGAGGCTGCAGTGATGGGCACTGATAGGCTGCACTGATGGGCATTGACAGGCATCACTGATTGGCACTGAAAGGCAGCACTGATATATGGCACTGACTGGCACTGATGGGTAGCTGCCTTTCAGTGCCGAAAGGCAGCTCAGATGGGCACTAATATGTGGCATTGATGTGCACTGGTAGGCACTGATATGTCGCATTGATGGGCACTGACAGGTGGCACTGCTGGGGCTACACTGATCATCAGTGCTCTGATGATCAGTGTACATGTCCCCTCCGCTGAATGCCGATTACCGGCTCTCCTCTCAAGCTGTCAGCATGACAGCTCGAGAGGAGAGAAATGCCGATAACCAGCATTTCCCTGTTTACATGTGAGCAGCTGTGATTGGACACAGCTGATCACATGACCGAGCCAACATCTTCGGCGCTTTCCGTGGATCGGTGATCTGCTGTGTCCAAGGGACACAGCGCACCGCCGATCGCCGCACTCTGGGAGCCGCGCATACGCGGTTAGAATGGGAGGACATCATATGAACGAGAGAACCACCTTGCACCGTCATAACTATATGGCAAAAAAAAAAAAAAAAAAAAAAAAACAGTCTCCCTGCAAGTTAATGGCATAACATGCTAGTATGCGACTGCATGTGACGGACTTACCTGTGAAAGGGATCCCTACAGCGGTCACTGCAGCCAGGGCTTCCATCTTGCACGCATGCGCAAGGGAGTCATGGCCGTGGCTTAGCGCTTTGGATTGACGGCACACCAACTATGCCCTCAATTCAGTGCGCATGTGACGTCACCAACTGCAAAACATATAAAACTCTCCTAAACAGTGCACGTCATTTTATATACAAGTAAGGCTACTTTCACACTGACTGAGGAGTTTTTGAAGCGTTTTTTGCGTTAAAAAAAAGCACCTGAAAAGCTCAAAAGAAATGCTTCCCTATGTATGTGAATGTATATATATGTATGTTTTCACGCTGAGGTGTTGCATTTGCGGTGTAAAAACTCCTGCTTGCACCATCTTTGGGGCATGTTTGGAGAGTAAAAAAAAGACGCCCCAAAAACGCTTCTTCCCATTGAAATCAATGGAAAACAACTGAAAAACTCCTCTGAGAAACGTTTTTGGTGTAGTTTTTAAGTGACATGCCTATGCGTTTTTGCGGCGGATCAGTGTGAAAGTAGCCTAAGCCTTATCATAGGCTTACCTGTAGGTGAAAGTGACAAAGCAAAGCTTGCTACCACTTTAAGATGAAAAAACAGACAGAGAAGATGGCCACACATGTCCAGCACTCCAGATGTTGATCTGATGACTTGGTTCTGAGGTTCATGTTTGTACATTGAACCCTGTGTGCATCCACGTGGTAGTGACGTTATTGTGGCTCGGGAGGAAGACCAGGTGAAGATGGAATCCCTGTCAGTGGAGAGTAAGTCTTTCATAATGTGTTAGTATGCAATGCATACTAGCACATCATGCCCTTAACTTGTGGTAGAAGTGGATTTTTTTAATTTGACTTTACTACTGCTGTAAAAGGATATGTTCACCTTTGGGAACATTCTATATGTTCCACCCGTTTTTAGGGTGTAACATGTTCCCAATGCTGCAGCTGCCCGCTGCTCTCCCCTCCCTGACAGAAGTAGGGGGAGAAGTTCCTTGTATTATCTTTCAGATTTGAAAACAGCGTGCCCATGCAGGCTCAACCCGCATGGCCGTGTCAATCATCCACAGAGTTCCGTGAACGAATGAACTGCAAGTCCTGACAGCCTTAGTGGCTGTGGGCTTGTAGTTTTCAATGAACTACCACAGCGCTGTGGAGTGCCGTGGTAGATCATTGATTCTTCCTGTCAGTATACCTGCTTGCCTATACATCCCACACAACCAAGCAGATATACTGACAGATCTGCAGGAGACCTGCATGGTACCAGCAATCTACTGATCACTGGCGCAATGCTTTACAAACTCCTGCAGACAAAATAAATAATAAATGCATATATTTTTTTTTTACCTGCAAAAAGTGAACCTATTCCTAACACCCCGGTTGCACTGGGTGCGACCTGGCATGCCCTGCGACTTGAAAATCATATGCCAAGTTGCAACCTATTGTCTGCAATTTCAGCGCTCAGATTTCTAAAGTAGCACATGCACTACTTTTTGTGCGATTTGCATAGACATCTGTGTCAGATATCTTGAAAAATTGCACCTGAAATTGGCATGTCCCTCGACTCTAAAATCGTGCAACTTCACTGTAAGTCACACGATTTCAAAGTCGGGCTTGATGTGACCGGGGTGTTAACCACTTTCCTGCTGCCCTATAGTAGAAATACTGCTACAAGGCAGCAGTGCTGTGCAAAATCATGTATATGTACACATGATTTTGCATTTCCACACCCATGCTTTGCATAGCAGAGCAATACAAAGCAATGTGCTGGCAAGTTAAAGCAGCACACAGTTAACCCTTTGATGGCCCCAGATGTTAACCCCTTCCTGCCCAGTGCCATTAGTACAGTGTCAGTGCTTTTTATTAGCACTGATCATTGTATTAGTGTCACTGGGGATGTCAGTGGCAGCTAGTTTCCCACACCCTCCACCAGTGCCAGAATGCCCGCCGCAGTCACGCTTTGAGTCGCTGATCGCCACCATTACTACTATATAAAAAAAAAAAAAAAAATCCCAGTATATATACCACCATTTGTGTAGATCCTATAACTTTCACGTAATTCAATTAATTTACACGTATTGGGATTTTTTTTTGTAGCCAAGACATGTAGCAGAAAACATTTTGGCCTAAATTTATTACAAAATTCGATTTTTTTTACTGGACATGTTTAATAGCAAAAAAAGTAAAAAATATTTTCTCAAAATTGTTAGTTTTTTTTGTTTATAGCACAGAAAATAAAAGACGAACAGGTGATCAAATACCACTGAAAGAAAGCTCAATTCGGGGGTGGGGGGTAGGACAAATTTCATTTGGGTGCAGCATTGCATGACCGCGCAATTGTCAGTAACTCAGCACCGTAACACAAAAAAATAGCCTGGTGAGGAAAGGGGGGTAAATCCTCAAGAGAGCAAGTGGTTAAAACACACCTGGACAAATACTATGCACAATAAAGCATATATATATATATATAAAAATATATGTATACACACCAGGGGAGGACTGACAACTCATGGGGCCCCCGGGCAATAGAGGATCATGGGGCCCGTGTCCTTGCCCAAACTCAAAAAAGCAACTATGAAAAAGGTACCAGGGGCATCTCATGGGGCCCCTACTGACCCCGGGCCCTCAGTTTCCAAGTGGTCATTCCGCCCCTGATACACACACATACACAGATCAGGTGTGTACACTGGCGGGACACATTGTGTATATAGTAGAGGCGTGTGCACGAGGCTGGCACTCAGTGTATGAACACCTCTCCCTCTCTCTGAGGTACCCCGGTGTTCTCAGCCCTCCCCTTCCCGGTATATTCCACACCCGCTCCTCACCCTGAGCACTCAGCGTCTTTAGCGCTTCCATGTTTGCCCTCCGTAGATCTCCACAGCTCTCACTCTAACCGCCCCGCATTCAAACTCAACAACCAATCACGCTGAAGCATCAATCGCTTTCTTTCAAAAAACTTTATTGACAACAAACACGTTTCTCTCTTGATGTAATCTGATTGGTCAGGCAGTGGGTTAGGCGGAGCGTTTCCTTTTCTTTTGCAGACTAGTGGTGTGGCGGAGTGGAGGGGAATGTATAGTTGCAGAGGATGGATCTGATATATGGAGCAGGGATGGGTCCCAGTCTGATCAGTGGAGCAGTGTGGATCTGATATATGGAGCAGGGATGGTCCCAGTCTGATCAGTGGAGCAGTGTGGATCTGATATATGGAGCAGGGAGGGTCCCAGACTGATCAGTGTGGATCTGACATATGGAGCAGGGAGGGTCTCAGTCTGGTCAGTGGAGCAGTGTGGATCTGACATGTGGAGCAGGGAGGGTCCCAGTCTGATCAGTGTGGATCTGATATATGGAGCAGGGAGGGTCCCAGTCTGATCAGTGGAGCAGTGTGGATCTGACATATGGAGCAGGGAGGGTCCCAGTCTGATCAGTGGAGCAGTGTGGATCTGATATATGGAGCAGGGAGGGTCCCAGACTGATCAGTGTGGATCTGACATATGGAGCAGGGAGGGTCTCAGTCTGGTCAGTGGAGCAGTGTGGATCTGATATGTGGAGCAGGGAGGGTCCCAGTCTGATCAGTGTGGATCTGATATGTGGAGCAGGGAGGGGTCCCAGTCTGATCAGTGGAGCAGTGTGGATCTGATATGTGGAGCAGGGAGGGTCCCAGTCTGATCAGTGGAGCAGTGTGGATCTGACATATGGAGCAGGGAGGGTCCCAGTCTGATCAGTGGAGCAGTGTGGATCTGATATGTGGAGCAGGGAGGGTCCCAGTCTGATCAGTGTGGATCTGACAATGGAGCAGGGAGGGTCCCAGTCTGATCAGTGGAGCAGTGTGGATCTGACATATGGAGCAGGGATGGTCCCATTCTGATCAGTGGAGCAGTGTGGATCTGACATATGGAGCAGGGAGGGTCCCAGTCTGATCAGTGGAGCAGTGTGGATTGACATATGGAGCAGGGAGGGTCCCAGTCTGATCAGTGGATCTGACATATGGAGCAGGGAGGGTCCAGTCTGATCAGTGGAGCAGTGTGGATACTGATATATGGAGCAGGGAGGGTCCCAGTCTGATCAGTGGAGCAGTGTGGGGATCTGACATATGGAGCAGGGAGGGGTCCCAGTCTGATCAGTGGATCTGACATATGGAGCAGGGAGGGTCCCAGTCTGATCAGTGGAGCAGTTGTGGATCTGATATATGGAGCAGGGAGGGTCCCAGGACATGATCAGTGTGGAAATCTGACATATGGGCAGGGAGGGTCCCAGTCTGATCAGTGGAGCAGTTTGGATCTGATATATGGAGCAGGGAGGGTCCCAGTCTGATCAGTGGAGCAGTGTGGATCTGACATATGGGGAGCAGGGAGGGTCCCAGTCTGATCAGTGGATCTGACATATGGAGCAGGGAGGGTCCAGTCTGATCAGTGGAGCAGTGTGGATCTGATATATGGAGCAGGGAGGGTCCCAGTCTGATCAGTGGAGCAGTGTGGATCTGATATATGGAGCAGGGAGGGTCCTCCCAGACTGATCAGTGTGGATCTGACATATGGAGCAGGGAGGGTCGCAGTGTGGATCTGATATGTGGAGCAGGGGAGGGTCCCAGTCTGATCAGTGTGGATCTGACATATGGAGCAGGGAGGGTCCCAGTCTGATCAGTGGAGCAGTGTGGATCAGATATATGGAGCAGGGAGGGTCCCAGTCTGATCAGTGGAGCAGTGTGGATCTGACATATGGAGCATTGAGGGTCCCAGTCTGATCAGTGGATCTGACATATGGAGCAGGGAGGGTCCCAGTCTGATCAGTTGAGCAGTGTGGATGGGGAGGATGGGTTGTTGGCACGTTTAAAGGGGGAACGTGGATACTATTTAAAGCAGAATATTTACCCCCTTCCCTGACCAGGTATTGCAATACGGCGCTGTTACTTTAACTGACAATTGCGCGGTCATGCAACGCTGTGTATAAATAACATTTGTTTAAATTTTTTTTCCCACAAACAGAGCTTTTCTTCGGTGGTATTTGATCACCTGTTTGTTTTGGGTTTTTTTTTGTGCGATTAAAAAAAAGTCAATTTTGAAAAAAGCAATATTTTTGTCTTTATGCTATAAACCATATCCATTAAAAAAAATAAAATTTCATAAATTTAGGCTAAAATGTATTCTGCTACATGTCTTTTTACTGAAAAAAAAAATCCCAATACGTGTAAATTAATTGGTTTACGTAAAAGTTATAGTGTCTACAAATGGCGGTATTGTATACTGAGAGATTTTTGTTTTTTTATACTAGTAATGGCGGCGATCAGCGACTTATAGCGGGGACTGTGGTGGGCATTCTGACACTGGGGGGGGGGGGGAACTGACTACTGGCCACTGACAACTCCAGTGACACCAATACAGTGATCAGTGCTAACAATAAGCATTGACACTGTACTAATGACACCGGGCAGGAAGGGGTTAACATCAGGGGCAATCAAAGGGTTAACTGTGTGTTGTGCTTACACTGTGTGCTGTTTTAGCTAGGTTCTCCACGTCCCTGTGGGCTGCGTTTTGCTTGGGCACGAGAGCCCATTAATTTGAATGGACTCCCCGTTACCCCGGGACACGCAGGAAAGTCCCTGCACTTTTTCGGAAAAAACACAGCCCACAAAGGAACTTCGCTTCCCAGTACGGTTGCGATTTCCAGTGCGGTTGGCGTGCCATTAGAACTAATGGCACCCGCACACGGGTCCGCATTCCTCTGTGTGGGTGGTTGCGGCTGCACAGATTTTTGTGTGGATCCACAGTGGCACCACCTGCACAGATGTAAACCGGGAGTTACTAGGCAGACATGCTGTGCAGAGAGATACAAAGTGGCATGTCCATGCTGACAGGAGAGAGATCTGTGTTCTTTACACACAGATCTCTCACCTCTCAGCTTTACGCTGAAAAACTTGGCAAATTGTCGTTTTTGGACTTTTTTTCGAAAAAAAAAAAAAAAAATTTTTTTTTTTGCAAAAAAACTGCAAAACACTGCTTAACGCTAATGCAAAAACGCTGAAAACTCACGTTTTTAATGTGACTTTACACAGCTAACATTACCAGCGTTATTAGAACACCCAGTGTGCATGGAGTCTTAGTGGCGATCACCAATAATCGCTGACTGGGTTCTGATGATTGACATCCACTGCAACCAATGGCACTACGCTGCTCCACAGCACCATAGTAGTTCATTGAGAACTACAAGCCGACAGCCACTAAGGCTGTTGGAACTTGAAGTTTCTCATTCACAGAGGACTGTAAATGAGTGACGCGGAAAATATTCCCTGCTAGCTATCAAAGCGGGGGCCAGTCTATTCATTACATGTTATAGCCTGAATATGGGTGTAGCGTGTAACATGTTATGGAGGGTGAACTTATCCTTTAAAGCTTAGGACATTTGTGTATCTGTAATAATATATATTTATATATGCTATTCAGGCAGAAGAAACAGCCAGATCACTGTTCACAGTGTTCTGTGTTTTTGTAAACACAGAACTCTATGTGTGATTGGGCACAGCCGATCAGTCGATTTCAGCTGAAATCAGCTGCCAAACTTTGCTTTGTCTTATCACAGCACGGGTTGGCAGGGGGGCGTGACCCAATTAGGATAAAAGGCCAGTCACATACATATACGTGATCGTGCCTGCATCTGTATATTGACAGTGAGCGATCGGCAGGTGGTTTAATAGACCTAAGGCTAGGTCCACTCCACAATTTCTGGATGCGTTTCTGCATACATGTTTTTGATGCATTCCGGAGCGTTTTTGATGCATTTTCCCCTTCTTTTTTTCCTCTTCTTTTCAGTTTTGGACATATGCGTTCCGGGGGAATATTAATGCGTTTTGCTGCATTCTAGATGCGTTTTTTTCATATAGAAGCAATGCAACATGTTCTATTTTTGTTGACTGCACTAGAATGCACTATATTGGCATGAACTAGGGCCATGGGAATCCATGGAAACCACTTTGCATGCATTTTTTTTATGCACATTAAGACCCCATACACACTAGTTTAAAAAAAAATCCACTGCTCCTAGAGGAGATCGGCGGTTTGCCCGTAGAAGCAACTAATGTTGTCCTATGTGTCCATGCACGTAGGTAGTCTATAGGTGTTTTTTTTAAGCTCAGCATTTAAAGGCAGAACCCCCCCCAGCTGTTTTACATTTTTTATAGTGGTTTCCTGGAAGAAAAAAAAAACACTAAACGCTCCTTAATGCTGCGTGGAGCCTTAAAACCCACCTGCATCTGGTGTGAACCAACCCTATCCAAAAACCAAAGCTCTAACCAAAAACTAAAATCCCATTTAAACTGTAAAGCGGATCTCCAGTCTCACTTGAAAAAAATAAAAGTCAGCAGCTAAAAAAACTGTAGCTGCTGACTTTTAAAAAAAAAAAGACATTCATCTGTCCCACGATCCAGCAGTGTAGTCACCGCAGTCAACTTTACTGGCCATCCTCTCTCCCCGGTGCAGACATCTTCAGTGTGGGCACCTGGCTGTGACAGCTTGCGGCTTCACAGCTGAGCTCCCACTGCGCATTCACGAGTAGCGCTGCGCTTTGTGAATAGTCCCGTAGTCTTCTGGGACCTGTCACCTATCCAAGAAGACTACAGGGGGGGCAGGGGAGAACTTCCACTTCCGATTGCCTAGGCCAGTGGTCTCCAAACTGTGGCTCGAGGGACGGAT